GAAACACAAAAACACAATAAACAGTAGCCTTCTCTACTTGAGACCAATGTCATACATGGGTAAGTGAAGAACCACTATTGAGAAGAGGAAAAAAAAATTAAAGTAAGCATTAACGATAAAAAACCTAAAAGGAAACTCCCTTACAACATTGACTAATTGAGCTATCACAAGGGACAAAACAACACTACTGACCCGAACCATGTATCTCACACAAGTTATCAAGCTACTTAGAACACAGGGGTTCAATTCATCAATCACACATAAGATGACAATCGAAATGAATGAAAATGTTTCCTAGCGTCAAGATACAATATCGACCAAAGCACCATATATATAGAAGAATCAACACAAAACACATAAAATCTTAATAACTATACATATCCACCAAAAAGTAAACGAAATAAATAGATAAAGTAATAATACAACCTAGAAAAACTAGATCGATCCACCAAATAAACATACAAAGTTCAGAGAAAACCACCACATAAATATGTTCAAATAATTCGAACATGTGTGGACAACACACATTCAATACAATTTCAAGACAAGAATTGAAATCCCTAGCCCTTGGTAGATGGATTAGCTCATATTCATATTGAAATTCCACGGTAATCGAGAGAACTCACATCCAATCAATAATAAAAACAGAGAAATGAAAACTTACAATAACGATAGAAATTCGTTCCGAACTTATTCAACAACAATAATTTTAGCACAAGCCAAAAGTAAAAATAAAGAAAATCCAAGAATTTACAAGAAGTTTTTGGTGTTCGGGAGTCTTTTTAATCAGTTCCCGGGACTTTTTTGGTGACCAAAGATGATCTAGCAGTCTGACACTACTAATTCACATTTAAATGGGTTCAAAACGAGGTCAAAAATCCGTCCAGGTGCATTTGAGTAATGGTACCAGTAGCTTGCGCGAGGTCGTCGTGGGTGCAGCGCTCGGGTGAAGGCGCGAGGCAGCATATCCGTCGCGCGCGAGACTCGCGGCTCGACAATTGGTCGCGTCTCATGTGGCTCGGTCAGGTGGGTTTTGCATCCCCTACGGTTTATCTTATTCCGGTTGGTTCCCAAGTCCAACAATAGACATATGAGCAAATTTATGACAAAATAATATATAAAAGTATATAGAAATACATAAAAGATACAAATAACACAAAACACATAAGGGAGCAAAATCAACCTAGTGAAGCGAAAAAATTATAAAAGGAGCTCAAATAAACTGAAACGAAAACTATACAAGCATAAAAAATAAAAATAGAAACATGAAAAAACAAGTGTGTTTTAATTGTCAATTTTAATGTCTAGTTTAAAAATCATTGTTGAATTGNCCAAAAAAAAAAAAAAAATGATAGATATAGATTTTAAATAATTGTATTTTCTGATTTTAAAATCCCAAAATACATGGACAATATTTAAATTTAACCATTTCGGATCAGACCACAAACACAATATAAACATTTATAAAGCCCAAAGCTGGCCTCATTAAGTCCATATGGACCTTTTTAAACTCTGGCCCAGTTCAAGAACAGTTTAGCACTCGAGTCTTTTGCTTTCAAATATCACTTCATGTTTTACTCAATTAATGGAGTTTTCAATTATATTAGGTTTTATTTTCTATTTTACTCCAACCTAAAATCCACATAACACCAATGGTTGATTGAATTCAAAAGATAGAAAAAATAACTTTATTAGAATTGTTACATTAGCAATGAGTATAGTCAAATGTTCGCTTCAAACTCTAAGGTCACGTGATAAAAGTTAAAATTGAAAGTGACGTCGAAAGCAATGTATTTGTTGTAGAATAATATGAGGACCACAAGTCATATTTTTCACACCATTCAAGGAAACTGCCGTGCATTCATGAACACTCTTAAATTGGAATAAAGAGCTTATATTTATATATTTATTTATGAATTTTCACTATGACCTAATTGATATTATCTTTCCAGTAACACAAACGAGTGCTTAATTTGAAATGAACAATTAGTGCAACTATAGAGATGATCAATACATGCTATATTATATATATATATATGCAGTTATTATGTTTGTCCCCTTTTGTTAAAGATCAAATTATGTTAATTTCGGTTTAAGGAATGTAGTTTATTTTATCCAGGATTAATGTTTTTTATTTATTTTTTTACTAAATCATGTTAATTAAAAGGGGTTAGATTTGTAAAGGGCATATGTTAAGTTTAAGCAAAGACATGTCATGAAGAAAACTGGAATAAAAATATTACTGAATATATAACTTGTCCAGGTTTATCAATTTTGCAATAATGGTATTCTTTTGCCCTTAACCTTATATACTTGTTTTTAATTTATGTACTTAAATGTTATGGTTCATTGATAATAGTTGTACATACTAAAATTTATAATTTGATTATTGTAAAGAAAGACGTCACGTATGCGTGCAAAATTTATGATATTTCAACTTTCTAATCCTTTGTAACTTTGAGGTTTCACATTGCAGGGTACTTAATTTTGTATAGTTTAAATAAATTTAGATTAATATAAAATTACTTTGTTATCAACAATCAAACGAATCACCGAATCAAAGCTATAAATCTTTCCAGGGCCCAGGTGCTTTATTACATTAAACTTGCAAGGGTATTGGGTCATTCTAAATCACTAACTTAATTAAATAAAAACAAACTTCAAACGATCTTATAGTTAACCTATTAGAATTTAATATGTTTTCCAAGACATATGTTAGAATATATTGTATGTATATATAATATTGTATTAGACTATGCAATAAATACAATTTTATATATATGATGAATTAAGAAGTAATACATATAAATTTTTATCGGTATATTTTTAAATTATAATATCATATTATAAAAGAAAATATAATAATAGTATGACATTTCATTATAAACATAGACTCGTTTAACTGTTACAGTGTCTCATACAATAATGTGTGATCATTTATATCAATATATATCAAGAATCTGTGTGGGCCATCTCCAAATTCTAGCTTTCTCATTGGAACAAATGCCTAACTTTATTTGAGAAATTTACAAAATCAAAAAGTTCAGATGGGTCATGGTACAACCTTTGGATTGTATGTGAAAATGCTATGTGCAAATATTTGAAGCCTCTCTGCATTTTTTTTTTTCACTTACCCTCTTCATAAATTGAATCTATTAGCACATAAATGAAGAGTTTAATTCAAATCAAAGATAATAATTTAGAAATGTGTCCACAAGATTTTTACCCTACATGTAAAATTAGAATTTACACATTGTCGATTGCCTAATCGCTAAACAATTATTCTTTCTCACAAAAAATACACGATACATATACTATAGATTGTCTTATTTTTTATTTATATTACATTTTAAAATACAACATTTTTTACTATAAAATTATGAATATTTATTGAAAAAGTATTTGTTAGCCGAACATAAGATTTACTGTAAAAGTTTTGGTTAACTCTCTTTTCGTGTGTACAAATTTTGGTTAGAAAAAATACCAATTTCTCGTTCCTTTTATAGGTAAGCAGGATTAGGGCTTAAAACTTTGCAATTGCTATGTGACATATTTAAGCAACTATTTTTTTGAGTTTAACTCCCAAGTCTTTCAAGATAATCAAGCAAATAAAGCAAGAGATTTAAAATATCAAATGAACAATTGGATTGCATCTCAAACTGGTAAAAGTATAAACAGTTACTCTCAGTCATGTCATATGTAAAATCTGGAAAAAAATTAACTTTTATAATTTGCATGCGTTGCAATAAAATGAAAAAAAAAATCGTCATTAACGTAAATATTTTATTCGTGGTCAATACATATGTAATTCTATCAATGTCCCTGACTTCGTGGATTGTGCACTAAATTTATACATTTATAAGATGGGTTTATTTATTATGTATGGATGATGTGGGACAACTCACAAATGATATTTTAACACTATCTTGTTTTAAAGATATATGAAATTTTATAAAAGTATATATTTTTTTACTAAAAAACTTTCAGTAAAATAAGCTATTCGATAGACCTATCAATTAAAACCATATTTTTCAACAGATGTGTATACTTTAAAAATTAATTAACGTTCTCTAATTCATAAAACAAAATAAACAAAAATATGATATTTTATAAAATAAATATGTATTGTTGTTAGAAAAATATAATGAATCGACCCATTGAATAGTTAGGCCATCTCACACAAAATTGTGAAAAGTTTGGGTTGAATTAGACAACTAACTACAACAATAATTAAATTAGAATAATAGTTTGATCAAGTTCCAAATTTCCAACAAAACAATATGAAACTAATAACCACCCATACATGTTTAAAATGACTTCAACGTGGAGTGCACCAAACCCTAATGCAATGAGACAAAGTACACAAGAATTTGCATGATGTTTAAATTTAATTAGCTCCACATTAATTCTTGTATAAGATAAATTTTATATCAGGAAAAAAAAAGAAGATGGTCTGGCCTTAATTAGACCTCGAATTAAGAATTACTATCATTGCTAATACTACACATAAAAAAGAAAAAATTAAAAATAAAAAATAAATAAATAAATTATATATATTGCCAATTCTCCCATAATCTAACATGCAACAAGGAATTAATCCAATTAATAACTACATTGTCATGAAATTTGTATCAACAAGGAATTAATCCAATTAACAACTACATTGTCATGAAATTGTATTAATTATATAGCTGTAAATGAGCAAATCGACTTCGAGCTCATAAAAGTTAGCGAGTCGTTAAACGATCCTCGACTCGACCGAGCTCGTATATAATAAAACTAAAGTTCAGGAAATTACTAAAAACCCATGTTTGTTATCAAGCTAACGATATGTTTTTCATAACATATAATAA